TTACACAGCACTGTCCTCACACTGGGCAGGCTGTGCACACGGGGACACTAATGTCTGCAGTTATGTTACACAGCACTGTCCTCACACTGGGCAGGCTGTGCACACGGCCCACAGTAATGTCTTCAATTACATTACAGAGCACTGTCCTCACACTGGGCAGGCTGTGCACACGGCCCACAGTAATGTCTGCAGTTACATTATATAGGAAGCACAAAGGTAGAGGTTGGGCTCTCACAGGTCATCTCGGGTCTGAGATCACATTGGAAAGAACAAGCCTCTCTTTGTCCGGGAAGTCTTTTAGAATATAAAGTACTTTTTGTTTGAGACAAAGGCTGGGCTATAAGTGTGGTGGGATGAATTTCTCATTGAAAATCTCCAGAAGCCATTTAGTCTGTCTGTCTGTGCTCCTGGGTCTCACAGAACAGGGTGGTCCTCCTTCTGCACCAGGCCTCAGGACCATTGAGGTGTCATGACAAAGCTCTGAGTGAGGTTGTCTCCCAGCATGACCCACTTCACTTCCTGGGTGTCGTATCTAAGTAGCCAATATGTACTTTTGCATGTGTGGTTGGATGGTTGGGGTCCTGCACAGTCACACCGACTGTGTGGCTATCGTCTCCAGGCTTCAACAACTCCATGCATAAGGAAAGCTGTAAGGTGTGCCCTGATGGCACTTCCAGCTCTGCATCTGCCTCAGCCATTCAGTGGCCATCTCACCCCACACATTCCCCACACCCTGCTAACAACTTTTATTGCAAGAACAAGCCACACACCAGGGGGCAACAGGATTCTAATGATGGGGTGATGATAGCAAGTGTGGAGACCATGGAGGGAAGGAGAGTCAGGGAGGGTCCTACAGGTGGGCTCAGGCAGATCTTGTGTGGATGGTGGCCTCACTTTCAGGAGGGAAATGCCACAGGAAGTCAGAGGAAGCCTCTGGACACCAACCTGGAATGAGAACACAGGGCTTCAGTACACTGGCTGTCACAGCCACAGTGGGAGCTGGCTTTCACACACATTGATTTGACACGAACTGGCCTGGCCCTGCTGTCTTCACTCTTTGCACAATGCCCAATATGGCTGAAGCCATGGAGAAAAGAGAGGCAGCTGTGGATTTGTTGTCTAGATATGGCACTTGACTCAAACCCCTCCTCATCCCTTATTCTGGAGCAGTGGAAGATGGGGAACGATTGAGTAGAGGCCATGCCCAAGTCAAGGTGAGAATTCAGCACACAGTGAAGTGTCTGTGCACAAAGTTAGAGCTCAGTCATTAACTTCTTGTAAAATGTTTGAGACTCAAACTGGGGTCATGATCCAGGCTCAGGGTTCAGGATGTACACTCAATGTCAGAGTTCAGCCTGGATTCAGGATCACGTCTGAGTTTCTCTGGTCTTGTGACAGAAGCCTTAGCCTGGCCTTGGCTTCCTGATGGGCTGCTGTGACAGGCTGCAGAGTCTACCTGTGGGGTTTAATGAGAACTGCCACCATAGGCTCATATATTGGAATATTTGGTCCCCAGGTTAGAAAGCTGCTTGGGAAGGATTAGGAGGTGTGGCTTTGTGAGTGAATGTGTGTCACTAGGGATAGGGTCTGAGGTTTCAAAAGCCATGTTCTTCCCAATCTCACTGTCTAGTAGTTCTATCTCCAGATATAAGCTCTCAGCTACTGCTCCAATGCCATACCTGCCTGCCTGCTGCCATGCTTCTCACCATGATGGTCTAACCCTCTGGAATTGTGATATCCATATTAAGTGTTTTATTTTATAATTTCCCTAGGTCATGTTGTTCTGTCACAGCAATAGAAAAGTAACAAGGACACTATACCAGCATCGAGTCATGACATTCCTCCCTCTGCTCCTTCCTCTTGAGATGGAGACTGGTTTTCTTCCATCAGTAGACCAGCTGAAGGAACCAAGTCAAGAGCAGCCTCAGTCTTTTCCATGGAAAATGAATGGAGAACTCTTCCAACTTGTTACCTCCCTCCAGCCTCTTCTGTGACAATTATATGACCTCAGGATTGTCACTGTTCACCTCAAGGTGAGCAAGGACAGTACCCGCTGTGCAGACTCTCTTGAGAATCCAATGAGGTAGTGTGTGCAAGACACAGAAGCACTGTGTAAAGGGACATTTCCATAGAAGGGTCCCCTCCAGGGTCTGTTGCTCCAGCTACCTTGTCAATCATGGGGAGCAAAGGGCTCAAAAGAGGCCTCCAGGGAGGGGAGGAGAAACTAAAAGGCCACCTTGGTCAGGATGCAAGGACTCTGCCTGGGTCCCTCCCACAGCTGTTGTCTTGGTCCATGGAAGGCTTTTCAGTCCCCAGGGTATGACTTACAGATGATGGCCTGAGTCAGCAGTTTGAAAAGAGCATCACTCAATCGAAATATCTGAGAGGCAAAGAGAAGGTAGAAAAGGAGGAGGGGGAGGCAGAAGGAAAACAGATGAGACTTTGCTGACAACACACTTTCCACCCTCCCCAGACAGAGGGGCTCATTTCCAGGACCTAAGAACAGTTAACCTTAG